ATTAGTCAAAAACGCTTGTCGGAGCTGCCGTTAAGAATTTCTCTGACGCAACACATCGCCGCGGACATAACCCAACACCGGGTGGATTTTGATACTCTCACCATATCGAGGAGGTATTTTGATGAAATGCAATTTATCACCGAAAAAGATCTCTCGAGAGTCGTATCCTTATCGAGCCGAGCCTGAGAAAACACGAATCCTGAAAAATTGGTCCGAGAATAGATACTCGAGGCTCCGGGTGTTCCTTGATTAATCACCGATGTCACTTTCGCGACATCGCGACACTCGTCCAGCAGAGTGGCAGATTCTTAGTTTCTACTCTACGCGAAGATGGCAGCCTCTTTTACAGCTTGTTTGCATGACAGTGAGAACTTGAAACACGATGCGGGTGCGTTGCAAGATTTGGATAGAATTAGCTCTGGTCGAACTGGCTGATTTGGGTCCTTTAGATCCGAGGATTCTATGATTGGACTACATTTTGCAATAAAGAACTAAGCACTGAAAGAAATAGTTCTGTTCACAGGGCTCCTGCACTTCTTTTGTAACAGTCACAGAAGCTTCCGTTATGAGGACAGAGTACTCTGTTCCCACGACCGAAGTTCTGTTCTCACAACAGAAAAATTCTGTAAGCGTAGCAAAAAAACTGCAGGAGCCCTGTGAACAGAAGGTTCTGTCGTCAGCACCATCCATTTTTTTCTGTGAACTTTTTGGCTAAAATTAAAAACGACGTATGTATTATAAGTTCTGTGTTTCATCTTGCAACGCACCCGCATCGTGTTTCAAGTTCTCACTGCAGATAAGTGCTTTTATCGGTGAGGAGGCAATGGTAGTTACCTCTTGCAAAATGTAGTCCCATTGGATGAACTAGCATGGGGCGTTTTGAAAAAACACAAACTTCCGGCTCTTAGTATAAATTAGATGAGATCGCATAAGGAGATAAAAAAAAAATAAAATTGGAGGAAAGGAAAAGGAGAGAAAGAATAGGCAAATTTTAAAAGAATGAAGAAGGAAATAAGAAGAAGAAGGAGAAGAAGAAGAAGTATAAGAGGAGAACGGGGAAAGAGGTAAAAGAGAAGATGAAAACAAATTGAAAATAAGGGAAGAAGAAGAAAAGGAGAGAAGAAGTGAACGAGAGGGAGGTGCAGAAGGAGAAGAAAAAGAAGATTTTCTGCTTACAGTAAACGGATATCAGAGACGACCCTTGCATAGCGCGTGAAACTAGAGCGCCTTCATATTCTCGTGTATGCAACACGGCCATCCTCTGAGCTCGAATAGTTGTATCCAAGTTCTACAGACAGCTACCAGCGGAGGAGGAAGTGGAGAAAAGATGAGAAAAATAATATTCCCGGGTTCCTCCTCTGGTACTTTTCTAGAGAAGGGTCATCAATACTACCAGTACTCTGATCGTCATGCTAAAAGTCTATGCTGGTTCATTTACCATGATTTTTTCTCGTTAATAGCAGAGAAAGTCTATTAAAAGGACGACACGAAATAGTGACGTGTGTGGCATGCAATCGGAGGAATTCCGAGCAAGTTTCGGCGGTCCTTTCACTGCGTCCACTTTTACTACTGCCGTTTCAGCGTCAGCGGTGATTCGGTCATCGCTGAAGCGGAACAAGGTTCGTCGATCTCTGATTATTGATCAACATCCCGAGAGCGCTAAACAAACAGCTCATTAATTATGGTCGAATTTTCACGCCCCTCTCCTCCCCGCCGCCAGCCGACCGCCGTTATTACGAAACGACCCCGCACTTACGCGCGACGGGCCATCCGACCACTTTCTACTAGCTGAGATGCGCGCGGATCGTGTCAGATTTGATTAATATTTTAATCTACGCGATGGAGCTGAAGAACTGCCTCCGGCGTGAAGTGGAGTCCAGCTGAGAAGTTAATTTACACAGCTTTAGTGCGCTGACATGTGTCTTCGAAATTTGTTGAACATAAAATATGATTGTTAGGTCCGTGTTCGTGGTCGGTGCTTAAACAACTCCTTTCCTTAAGAAGCCCCATATAAGTTTGACCGTGATTAAGATGGGGTCCTAAACATACCATCATAAAAAGGATAATTTTAAAATATCTCGAGTAGAATTTAGGAGTACAACATAGGATTTGCATTATATGTGAAAAAAGAGGTAGGAGTTAAGCCCCAACTTTCCAATTAATTGTGATAGTACCCCAATAAATTAGGTTCTTAGCCCAAATGTTGTTACCAGCATTAATTGGAAATGTACATATGTATAATCCAAATAAATTAGTAGTAGGGTAAATTAGTTGGGTAATTTAGTAGTAGGGTAGTGCCACAATTTTAGGGGAAAACCCCTAACGGTTTTTTTCGTTTAGTCAGATAGATCTGGAACAGAGTTTTACACAAACCCATAAGGATTTTATAGTAAAATTTGGACATATTCCATGGCTTGCAGCAGTTGCAGCATAAAATATTCTTGTAATATTTAATCGAATGAAAGGAAACCACCCAATTTTCCTTTGTCTAGATTAATAATCTATAAACAAACGAACAACAAAGATTTCATGATTTTTTCTGGGATCCACCCTGAACAAAATACTAGAATCTTGCTCTGAATTTCTCGCTCGACGATTCTTTCACTATGTCCTCTTAATATGCATAGAAAATGAAATTGACATGGAATAGAAAAAGACATTGTATTACAATGTTCACTGATTTGGAAAATGGAAAAATCGCAACCATTTCCAGAAGCATCTCCTAATGGCCGTAAAAACTTATCAAGATACAGAGCTTCAGTTGTTTTCATGAACTTCCTTGTTTTGCTGCTATTCCTCACAGTTTTACTTAAAATTCAATCCCTTACTGTTCCCTCACCTTCTCCTATAGTTATCATTTTTTTCACATGTCCGTAAACCATCCGCAAGTAGAATCAGATGACTCAGAGCTTTAACTATCCAGATTCGTCTACTGTTCCTGAAATCATCCTTAAGTATGATTTCGACTGACCCGGCCACCTCTCACTGCAAGCCAACCAGTTACACGGGGCAGGAGCCTTGTTTTAAAACTGAAATTTTTCCCATGCAAATGAAATGCCACCACTCGAAGATAAAGGGCATGTTGCTGCAAATGCATACAATTAAAATGAAAATAATTAAGATACAGATTTTGAGTTGCAAAATCGGTGGCACCCAGCCAAGTCGCCGAGCTTTAAAGCGGGTGCCGATCCCTCCGCGAGCGATCGATGGATCGAGGTGGCTATTTGATACTTTCAACGTTCTTAGGTGGCTGATTTATCGCGAAAAGAATCGATATATCGAATTATTCGTCTCGTGGCATGTTTCGACTTATCAAGGTGATGCGCGCGGTTCAAGCATAATAAGGTTGACCACCCTCGGAGCATCACAAAGAACCGCGGTTGCCAGTTTGTGTAAAATAAATTTATTCTTCGGATTGTTCCACGCCTGCGTCACCGGTTGATATTCCAGAGGTTGATCCGTATCGATAAATCCCCCCATTTGAAGGTTGGATGAATTATGATGCTATTGTTTGGATTGGAATTAGTATGACGGAAACCTCGAACTTAATGCAGTATCGAACGTCTTGAAGACGGTAAAGTAATTGTGGATGAGTGTTTAGCTGTCTGACATCATATATGCTTAAGGCCTCACACAAAAAAAAAAAAAATCAGCCATTTGGAAAAGAAGAGGTCTACATGTCATGAATAGTTTGCAGATAACCATATTTGGTCGTTTCTCTGGCAAAAAAACGCAATTTAATTTCACCGCCGACAAAATTGATCATAATAATCTAATTTCCTTTTTTTTTTTTTTTTTTTTTTTTTTTTTTTTTTTTTTTTTTTTTAGAGAGAACATGGCAATGAAATATTGCTGGTTTTTGCCTAATCGTAAACAAATCTTCAAACTTTTAGTAAAATATACACAACAGTTTCTTAGTACGAATTCAATTTGAATGTAGAAATTTCGCGACTTCAAAGGGTATAGTTATGTTGTTCATGACAATTTATGATCTTCATGTGCCGTATGACGCTTTTGGTGCGATAATATTTATTTAAATTATTTATGGAATAGCATACTTACGCCTTTTCTCAGGAAAATAAAGGAAAACTGAAAACTTTCCAGAGAATAATGTAGGTTGAAAGTTATTTGAAAATTCTGCCACTCATCTTTGTTACGTAGTACACGGAGGTAGAACTGTAGGATAAAAACAATCATTTAGGGGCAGTGTTTTTTCCAAAAGAAAAAAATGTCTAAAATTGTCGTCTCCTCGATGTACGGGTGTATCTTAATTTCCACAGGAGCCCTGTTTTTAATATAAATCCATGCTTCCCATGGTTCATGCGGAAATGGAGATATGCCTTTTCGTCAGAGGAGTGACGAAATGCGTGTAATTAGCCCTCGGGAGGTTAAAAAGCAAAACTAAGAAGAAAAAAATCATTTGAAAATTTAAGATGTACACCCATCAGGGTGTCTACTAAAACAGGCGGGCAAAAAATCAGTACTTTTACAGTACTTTTCAGTACATTCCTAAAAAATGCAGTACCTCCACAATAGAAAAATTCAGTATTTTTTCAGTGCCTCCATTTGACGAAATTCGAAAAATTTCAAAAATTTGAATTTCTCGCTCAAATTGAGACAAAAATGGCCAAAAAATGAAAAATATTCCGGACCTTTTGCAGAATTTCCGCACTTTTTCAGTAATTCCGGACCTCCTTCAAAAAGTCGGTACTATTTTCGGACTTTCCGGAAATTCCGAACTTTTGTAGACACCTTGCCCCTCTACGAAAAACAGATTCAGTTAGGTCGTAGTAGATTTGACGACGACGGAGGGCTCTGTTTCGAAAAGTGGCGCGTCCGAGGAAGGTAGGCTTTTCTTAAACGATATGCAATCAATTAAACCCCGCAGCGCTGGGCTCGGGCCAGCGGCGCGGCTCTGTACCAGCTTGGACGGGGAAGGGGACGCGAATCCATGAATAAATTAATGCCTGCCGAGCAGACTCCAATGAATGAAAACTCACCCGAGGATCTCCTATTGTTTTCACCTGAAACAAATAACACACCGACTTTAATCAACGTGCCTTTCATCAAGTTTCGTCCGCCAGGACGCCAAAACCCGCTCAGTCGGGGTGATTCCACGCCAAGTTGGCATCATTGTTTGCTCTCCATCTAAATGCATGTAAAACAATCGATTGCAGGTCAGACAGGCTGTCTCGGCGAGAATCGATTGTCTCTGATATATTTAAATGGACGAAAAACAATGATGCAAAATTGCGAAAATGTAATACATTTTGTTCAATTTGATGAAGCAAAATTTTTCATGACTTTTTTACCGTCAAATTTTAAAAGATCTCTTTGGTGAGGTAATGAGGTATTAGCAATTTTGAGACCAAAGTTTACCAGACGCTGAAAATTCTGTAAATGATCATGAATTGATCAATTATTATGCAATGAAAAGTTTGTATCTGTATGTTTGGAACAATTCCTCTTCAAAAATTGGTAAAAAATTCAAAATTCCAATTAAAAATGAAATTGCTGTCCGTCTACAGTCGGCACTCAAAGTATTTGATTTGAATGTTACCCTAAGATTGATACACAAGAATTAAAATCTTCGGTTACATCGACCAAGGATTGATTCATAAGGCATCTCACTTGTAAAATTTTCGATACAGTCAACCGAAGTCTTCAACCTAAATCGAGCTTCGGTTCAGAGTTCCTCGTTTTACAGTGGAAAACAATAAATCTCACGATCAGTTTTGCAGTTGAAAACTTCATTTACTTAAACCGGAATTTAATTACCACAAAATATGATCTCGCGTTCCGTTATCAGCTCAGATCTACCCCTTAGTTGACTCAATTTTTAAATTTCTCTCGGACCGCCCGCCCCCTTTGGAGCTTCAGAGGCTCCCCCAAAACCTCACTATGCATCTGCGGGAGTCCCGACAGACCCCTCATTATGGGGTGTCTTTCTGTGCCCCATTGAATTCCTTTAATTAGGTGTCCCCCTAGCCGCCCACAACAAGTTCCTATTTCCGCACATACAAGCGGTCTATTGTATTAACAACAAAAAGCTGCAAAAAAAGAAAGAAAAACAAGAATCGCAATTTGATGTAAACAAAGCTTTACCATTACCACTATCACACAACATCGATTGTAGAAAGCAGAACGCCACATCCGAAGCTCGACCAGTCGCAGGGAGGGATTAAGGGGGGGGGGGCTGCTAGCTCGTGTAGACAAACCCATTGTCGGCCATTGTTCCGCCCAACACGAGCTAATTATACAGTCAAATTCGCGGTTAATTCGGGCAAAAGCCGCTCCATCGGCTGCACGCGGCGATTTTTGTCGGTTTTTCTCGTCGATCACAATGGCCACTCGCGCATTCCGCCTCCGCGGCACGAGCGGATAGCTAACGCTAATAACGCAGATGCTAATAACGCGGACGCTAATGACGTGGACGCTGCCGCGCCGATCGACAAATCGACGCGACGCGACGTCGTGCGAAAACACGCTCGTCGCGACACCCCGGCACACTCGGTCGCCCCACGTTTACTGCGAGTCCAGCTTGACTTGGGCGCGAAGGTACAAGGAGTCTCAGCTGCCGTGCTAAGGAAGAATGCCGTATGAACATTCGAGAGTTGCCAAATTTCTCTTGATAAAACATGTACTTTCAACAACGCTTTTCCTTGAAAAATTCAGATATTTTGGATTAAATTGCATACAAAATTGTCTGAAGATTTTGGAAAATAATATTCACAATTTTCCCAGTGAATTTGGCTTTTATTGGAAGAAACTTGGCAACGTCTAAAGTCTAATACGGCGTTCCTCCTTAGCGCGGGCGGTCAGGCTCTCAGGATTCAATAAAACGTTTTCCCTCGAAAGTTTTTGCAAAAAAATTTCTGAGTTGGAGGAACGCGCGACGCCCTCCGCCCTCCAAATTTTCATGAAAAATCATAGTTTTTTTTCGTAACTTTGGGATTTTTTTGGATACTTTTGGTCTTATTGTAAATTGATATTTGCGAAATTGTAATCTCCTATGTTAGAAGTAAATGTATTTCAACTAGAATTAGGGGGATTGGAGGACAAGGCGCATGAGTGCAGTGTTTGCTACTTCGAGAAATACAGGTTTTAAGTTTCGAAATTACATGGATCCTTATGGTGGAAAGAAGATTCAAACTGACGTTTTGATACTTAAAAATTGAAATTGGGAGCGAATGTTTACATAATATGCTTAAAGACTAGTTTTACTTGAAATAATTAATATCTCAATTTTTCAAAATCTGCACTTATGCGCTTTGCCTTTCAAGTCCCTCAATTTAAATTTTCGCGAAATTCGGTCCAAACAAAGAGAAAAAAATTCAGTTTAAAAATAGATCCCGTTTCAATTGACACTTGAATTCTTTTGGGATGAGTCAGGGACTCTTGTTCCAGAAGCAGGGAATTCCATTGCGATGCAAGGAATTTTGTAAATCTCATAGACAGTGGCGTCAGCGTGAAATACAGTGGTTCTAAGAGACGGGAGGCAGGCGATGGAAGGAAAAATAGAAAAGAAGGGGTACTGGATTGGAGATAAAAAGAAGATAAAAAGTGAACAGGATAAAGGAAAAAACGCGTTGCTGGAAATGGTACTAGGGCCAGCTTGTTTTCAACGTCGATGCCAGACCGAATACCTAGACGTCCTTTCATAAAGAGGGTGCATTTATATTCAGACATTCATGAAGGAATGTAGATTGATGGTCTTCAAAACCATGCATCTCGCCAGAGAAGTTTCAAAATCATATCGCATATGTTTTTGAGGTAAAGCTCTCAAGAATCAATAAATCCAGAACAACTGTTTCATTTTTTATTTTTTCCTTAATATTAAATTAAAACAATTTGTCTTATTGGAAAGAATTTTTAAATTCTATTTGAGTTTGTTTTAAAAAAAAATAAGGAACTCGGACATGAAATGTTTATATCGTAAGTTAATTAGATTCGTCTTTGAGTTCTTTACTTTTTTTTATTGTTTTATTTTTATTTTTTTTTTTTTGCGATACGACAACGTGGTATTGTATCGTTGAAGTTCTGCGGTCACAATATCAATGGTCAGCCCCTTAGTTCTCTGTCTCTGAGCACTTTACAAGCCCCATTTCTGGTTTGAACCACGAGCAGTTACACTTGCACTAAGGATCGAGAACAAAATGATTTTGAATAACAGGGAAAATGATGGCAAGACATTTTGTATTTTTTTTTTAATAAAAAAGAAAAAAGAAGTAAGTTTTTGGAAATAATCACGAAGCAGGTAAAATAGGAGAACAATAAAAGTAAATATATAGGTATCATCATTAGGTATCACCAAAACTATTTGGTTTGTCAAATTAAATATATGCAACTATACGTAAACAGATGTGCGAAGTACGATTATACACGAACTGAAAGGTAACACGAACTTAAAGTTCGGTTCGACAAGCCGAATATTTGGTGAGATGTCACACCGAACATTCAATTCATATGACCGAACTTTTTTTCCCCATTGGATGATCAGATATGAACCCTATTTCCCGCAATCCCTTATTGTTCGTCTGATGATAAGTTTTTTCCACTGCGCGAGGAGATGCCCCATTGCGGTCGGGTTGGTTCGTCTACATTTTGCGCAGCACATGCTATCGTACTCCCGCACTTCACCGCCGCACCGCGCCTTGCAGATGCAGACCATTGCAGACGTCTGGGATCTACGCCCACAGCTCATCTAAAATGGATCGCGCCCGCCGCAGAACAAACAAAAGGTTTTCAGCCGCATTTTCCACCCTCTCTCCACACCCTCCTACAACTCCTCCGCGTAATTCCATGAAAACTTGCACGACTTAGGAACCGGTTCGCAATATTGGAAACGGATGCCGTGGGATCATGACAAACTCTCTGAGGATCTTTACTAAAAACCATGGACTTTGTCCAGTTCACCGAGTTAAACTTATAGATTTCGGTTTCAAATTCAATATTTCAAACGTTTTTTAATCACTCAAATATATTCTTTCTATCCGATTAATTTTTTGGCACTTTTTCACCCTTTAAAGTTTGGGTTGCCTTCGAACTGAACAATTCCTAAAAGCCCAAACAACACAATTTGAAGTAAAATAATCCAATGCTGTATTATTTAGAGACAATATTTAATTTCAACCCAGAACTGTTATCTGCCATATCTTGTAAAAATTACACTTGGAAGTCAACGCGTAGCCTCTCTTCATGCGGATTCATGACCAAAGTGTCCAGCATTTGGTTCCGTGGACCTAACTTAATTTGCAAAAACTCGCTTAGCAAAATGCTCACTTCGAAATCCATCTATCATCGGTGCGCAAATTTTAGTCTCAAAAAGTTAATCATTAATCATCCTTAGGCGAAAAATAGCATTGACCTACGAACTATAATTTTGCCTCACCTGCAAAATTGCTTGAAGTATCGGTGCGGACTTCCTCGTAATTTAAATCAAAGTAATTTTAGTTTAAATACATCCATAAGTAATACGGAGTCCTTTAAAACTGCACTATCAACTTTGGTCTTCTGTCAGCAAAGCCACACGATCTCATCAGCACCGAGGTGAATTAAAATAAGTCCAGTGGGGTGGCGTGAATGATCAATTTTCGATATTTCCCTTTTTAAAGCTGTGGTAAATAATCGATTAAGGTGTTCGTTCAGAACACCCTGTTTCTCGATCCTTTTCCATAGGTTTAAATAGCAAATTAATCGATATATGGATTGCATTTTGCAAAAAGGAACCACTAGCATTGCAACGATGCTAAGATTGTGCAACTTCATCTTTTGAAATAAAATTGCGGAAATAGTGAAAAACTATAAATTTAGATGGTAATTTTTGTCTTAAATTTACAGTTTTTAGCGAGTAAAATATAAAACTATGATAGAATAATCGGGTTTTTCCTCCAAGACAAAAGAAGTTGCACAATCTTAGCAACACTGCAATGCTAGTGGTTCCTTTTTGCAAAATGCAATCCATATCGCAAAACACGCACCACGCCTTTGAACAAGTCCTTTACTTTCCTTACTTTGCGTTTAA